TGCTGTGAGCAGTGCTAGATGCAGCACAATTTGCAGCCGCGCAATTTGCAGCCGCGCAATTTGCAGCAGGGTGAGATAGCAGCGGTGCATTGCCAGCAGCAGTGGAACTGTATGTGTCCTTCTGGCAAACGTCAGATGCTGTCGTTTCCTTCTTCTGCACCTCTGCCTTACATCAACACTCTCCATACAATCTATGCAGTCTATAAACCAGCACAGACCACAGTGCTGCTGATCAGTGTTTCTGGAGAGGGGGAAGGCAAGGTGAGCCAAAGGTAATGGCACTATATATAATCAGAGTTTAATTCATGCTCAAAAGAACCAAAGACATGTTGTTGGTTCAAAATCCTTATTCAATCATTATATTATATTGTGACACTAAATAAGTACTTCCATTTAATTATGCATATGTAGCAGATTGTAAATCGAGACATAATTTCATCAATTTGAAACTTCTAAATTATAATCTCAATGACGACACCAGGCTAAATTATAGGCCGGCTCTGTGGGGAGGCATTTATACAGGAATGTGAATTTGAATAAGTGCCAAATTCAAGACAAAACAATAAGTGCACCCCTTAAAAGTCTTTTATTAGTCTTTTATATGGAAATAAATGGAACAAAGAAACATTGGTATTGTTATGGTAAGTCGAGCTGGGCAATCAATCTAATTAATTCAATCAATCGAAGATTTGAGAAATGTCAAAATTGTGAAATTGAGGTCAGGATAATAATTTCCTTCTGGCCTCTGCTTCTTGGGCCTCTATAGTTTAGCTCTGCACACAGAGCAGAAAAAGTACAGCATCGATTATTAGATGTATTTTAATATCGAGTATTGAGGGTTTTTTTTACATTTAAACATTTCAGTGACTTTCGTTAAAATCAATTCAAAAATCTTAATTGTGAAAAGGGAGCAATGCAATCAAGATGTTACTTTTATATCTCCCAGGCTTACTTTCTTTTCATTCAAAGATTTCAATACACAGCAGGTCAGTATTGAAATCATATAGAATGAGACAGTGGCTGAAGGTCTTGGGTTTGACTCCTGGCTGGAAGAGTTTGCGTAGGATTCCTCTCATCACTGAAAACGATTACAGCACATTTGAAAGGGCTGGGTGCCAATACAATGCCATCATTGTGTGGAGTGAATGGAAAATAAAACAAAATTGTAAAGTGCTTTGACCCTAGACATAAAAATGCGCTAAATAAACAAACATTATTTACATCACTCAATTATACACATAAGGTCCAGATGCGTTTATAATTTTTGAAGTAAATATTTCTGTTTTATCAGTAGCGATTATATTATACAACATGTAATCCATCATCATTGCAACCTAATGTTTGTATTTAGCCGTATCATGTTCAAATCAGGTGGCATTCCCACAACCCAGCACTTTCAAATTTGGAGTTCCACACCTACATTTTCCCAGACAATCATAACGTTCCTAACAGCAATCATTCTAAGGCTAGATACCTTTTTTTTCATCTTTGTTTTTTTTTAAGATAATGACATGATGACTTGTTTGGGGATTGTTTAGTCTGCTTCACGTTACCGCAGAAACACATGCTGTCCATCATAGTTTACTCTGTGAGCTTTTCGCTGTGGGCCCAAGTAAAACTCTCTACCACGCATTTACCTCACACAACACACACTTGCCTATAGAAGCATGTCCGTCACAAGAAGTTATTATTCGCACACACTAAAGTACAGTAAACGTTAATCAGAGCCAGATGAGGAGCTTATGGAACAAACACACACAATGTCATACGAGACTAAAACAGACGTCATTTCATTCCACCAACTCATCCCTGCCGTCAACTCTAAATGCAGCTGCCTCCGCAGATTACGCCACAGCTGCTTCAAAAGTAGGGACAGTGGTTTTGGATTAAGGAACTGAACAGGAAAGACAAGATATGCAAATGATTCCGTCTGGTCGTCCGTCTAAATTTTGTTAAGCATAGCACACTGATTAATCTTGATTTAACCAAATCTACGGCCTAACATTAGCCTATTTTTTATCATACAGTTAAAAGGTATATAAGAGGATTTTCCCAAATTTTAGAAAAGAACCGCCCTCTCCACGTTTTGAACGAAACTATCTGGTCTTATTTGACGAGCACGTATCACCAGAATGATTGACAAGTGGGAGGACCAAAAGCCTTGATAATCCACCCGGAAGTAGAAAATCCTCCTATATGGGCGGCACGGCGGCTGAGTGGATAGCACTCTCGCCTCTCAGCAAGAAGGTCCTGGGTTCGAATCCCGGTCGGACCAGGGCCTTTCTGAGTGGAGTTTGCATGTTCTCCCCGTGTCTGCGTAGGTTTCCTCCGGGTACTCCGGTTTCCCCTACCACTAAAAATATGTCCAATAGTTCTGGCATGTGCCTCCTGTACTGGCCCCGCTCCCATCTCTGTGTGGAGTGAGAGACAAAATGCCCAAAAAATTAACAATTGTAAACCGCTTTGAGACTCAGATCTGCAGTGAAAAGGCGGTATATAAATAAAAACTTACTACTATACCTTTAAAGGTACACTGTGTAGTTTTTACTTCCGTCACCAACACTAAGGAAGCCTTCAAGGATCATACGTTGTGTTTGACAGTGGTCCCCAAAGTGGCCGGTGATCCACCGGCCACTAAAGAAAGAATCCTTTAGTTAGATAATGATTTCTCCATACACGGCCGCGCCACAAATGTGCTTCACGCACGTGTGCTGAGGCGGTCATATAAACAAAGTCTGTGTTGTGAAGCGGCACGCGTTGCACAGAGGTGTTTTACCATAGATCTATTATGATATATAGTTTTACAAACGCCATGAGAGAAGACGCCTGGAAGAATGGGAAATCTGTGGGAGCTTAGGGCCCGGTCACATAGGTTTTTACAAACGAACTAGGCCAAGTGGCCCGCAGTCACAAGAACGTGTTCTCTGAACCGTGCCGGAGCAACTTTGCTGTAGTACAACGCCCGGTCCAGTTGGTGGCGCTTAGGGATGTAAAAAACTATGAATTTTCATGACCGACCACCGAGCCTCATTAACCGGTTGAAACCGGTTAACCGCGTAGTTTAAAATAGTCCACGTTCTTTGAAATAACAGCCATTTCGAGCCGCGTACTTTTCATAAGTGCAGCTCTGCGTTCTACTGGATCAGAGTTGAGACAGCGGCGCCCAAACCCGCAACAGCTCCGGCACCTTTGCGCACAGAGAACTGCTTTTTTAATCTTCCCATTCTGCTGTGCTGCGGGTTAATACCAAAACTTTCTAGCAGCAAACGACGGCTCGTTCACATGGTCAGAGCAGCGAGTGACGCGTCTCACAGGTCTTCACAAAAGTTTAAATACAAGTGATGTGTGTGGAGCTGATCCCGAGGACCATAAACACAAACATGTTCCATGTGGTTTGACTGGAGCCGTGTATTTGTGCGAATCCTTTGGGCTCCGTGACACAGAGGAGCGCGACAGACCGGTGTATGTGTGTATGTGTGTGTGTATATGTATGTGTGTGTAAATGTAAGCTCCAATGTAGTTCTGACCCGCGCCAGTGTGCAACTTTGACGGTAACAGAGGCGAGAGATGATGCGTGTGGAGAGGGGGAAAGTGTGTGTGTGTGAGAGAGTGTGTGTGTGCGCGCGTGCGTGCGTGTGTGCATATGTGGCTCGTGCGGCGTGAGAGTCGTCCCGGAGTTTATAATACATTGGCGCACACAGCTAGATACAGACCCGCTCGTCACACCGTGCAAATAGGGCTTAAAATAGCGTTATTAAGAGACCTCCCCTCTCCCCTTTTTCTCTTTTTTAACCGACAGCTTTGACCGGTTAACGCTGTGACGGTCAACCACCGGTTAAACGGTCACCGATTTACATCCCTAGTGGCGCTAATAATAACTTCAGTGACTACCACGTTGTCCGAGTTGAGCAGTGTTTCCCACACATCGGCGCACCGCCACAGATTAGAAACCGACCGCCACAGATTGCATAAGTTTTTTTTCCTATTATTTAAATATTTAACACACATATTTAAAACACGCAGCGTATTCGTTCCGCTGCGTGTTTTTTTTCCCTGCTGACACGCATGTCCCGCATGTCTCTCTGTCACTCACACTGCTCACGCACACGGCCCCTCCCCTCCCTGCACACCGCGTCTATCTCCATGAAAATGTCGTGGCCTATTTGGTGCAGAGAAGACCCCGAGCAAACACGCGATTTTGCCTTTCTTAGAAAGTTAATTAGAGTCGCAAGTTTGGGGTAAATGTAGTTGGGTTGTCAGCAATGTTCCCTCTTCAGTTTAGCACAAAGTTGACTATTGCTGAGTAAAGTTGGTTTTGTGGCAATATGACAATTATTATCTTAGATAATTATTGGTCCATGTGTTTTATTTTATTATGCATATGACTAAATAAAACCATCTATACTATGTATACATTTATTTAGTCTATATTAAATATGAATAGACAAAATCCACTTAGAATATTTTGTGTTTTAAGTGAAATTCACCAAATATATTCCGCAATCTACTTTAATTTACCATCTATAAAAGACTCATTTGAATAATGAGCAAGTGAATGTTGAACCGAATCATAGTTGGTTCAAGACGGATGATTTCAACTATGATTCATGTATTCAGAAGCACAGTATAGTGCAAATACAAGATAAAACTTTATATACTATAGCTATACTATAAGTGAGCAGCAATAGTACTCAGCCAGAAGTGTCCCGAGGAGAAAAATATACAAACAACTAATGTGAGGCAAAAACTTAATATGAATTACAACAAGCAGAGTTTGTTGGAAAAAATTGTAGATTTTTTTTTTTTTAAACTAAAGGTTTAACAAGAAAAAAACAGGGACAAGGGACACTAAAATCCGATCTTTATGTTTGCTGTCGGTTCTCTGTCAGCTGAGGTCGAGCTGTTTTAGTTTACATTGAGTTCTATGGGACATTTTTCTGGGCTAGTAAGCTAGAAATACCTTATCTATCCAGATATTACAATAGATCCATGCTCAATACCTGGAGAGGTCCTGACGCTGAGGTTGCGTGTGAAGTCATTTTTGAGAGAATCAAGCACTGAATTCAGATCCATCTTCACTTCATCCAGATTGATGATGTCTTCCACCAGGGTTGAATTAATATTCACCTTGACGGATTGGCCCTTTACCTTCGCTAAAATATGAGAACCAAAATAATCAAACTACTCATTAAATCTAAGACTGTGTTGATATTAGTCAGTTACAACACAAACCTTTAGCCTTTTTAGTGGCAAACATGCGGCTACATGCAGTGGGGAAACAGGCTGGCCTTGGACAGAGTGTTGGAGTGTTGATAATGCGGACCACAGGAGACCGGAGATGCTGCAACATGGGCCGGCAGATCAAAGAACGCAGAAGGCTTATGCTCATTGCCATGACTGAGAATACAAGAAAGGAAATATATTTTGCACATTTCATACAAACAAATGCAACTCAATGTACTTAGCAAAGAGAAAAATCAGTCTTGCTCTTTGTCTTGAATTATGTCAGAGTGTTATGTTATAAGGAAATGCAGTATATTGAAAAGATGAGAGATTACTGGTATAATTCAGTACATTACCTCCCTGCAACCAGGAACTTTGCACCTTAATAACTTTTTTGTATAATACTTTAATCTGCAGCTAGACTCCGCTCACACAAAGTATATCATGATAACAAAAAATAAGTACAAAGCAAACCCCCATGTCAACATAGTTATCTTTACATAATCTTTTGTATTTAGAGAATATCCTGCAACAATGCAACCAAACAAATATTTTGGTTGCCAAAGAGATTAGCATCTTGGAAATAAAGCATGAACATACAGTTGACCAGGTGGACCAGACGGTTTAAAAAAAAAGAAATAAAAAGGGTGGTGACAGATCTGGTAGAGCTGTAACATCTAAAGTCTATGGTAGAGCCAAGCAGAAAAGAAGCCAGGCGTTCAGATGAAAACATTGTTATATTTTGTTCCGTTTAAAGGACCACGTTTTTAACAATAAAGCAAAAAGTAAAAGCCAAAATTACGTTGGAGAGTTCCATAGTAACATAATAAACCCAGTAAGGAATGTTGACTAACAATCCTCTGATGCAGGCAACACCGTGTCCATACTATAATACTTCTTTTCATATAGCTACATCAAAGTTGTGGCAGTCGACACAATATTGCATAGATTTTAATTCAGTAAATTCCATAATAATTATTATGTTTCTGAAGGTCGAAACAGACGGTTTGATAAATGTAACAACCCTTACACACATCTAAAATACATATCGACCCAAATTTACTTTCCTAACCTCTACTTACTTTATTCCTAAAGGACTTTGTTTGTGCATTAACGCCTTTCTAAAAAGCCGATTTTGCTGACAAAAAGTGAAAAACTATGGGAAAACCACGACGGCCACGTATGGACGTCATCACTCTGCGACTCTGCTAAAGTGCGGCGATAGTTTAGGTTTACAGGACACGCCAATCGGGCGGTGTCAGCATGTATACAAGGTGCAATATTCTTCTCTGGTCTTCAACGGCAGATGACTTTACACAAACCAAGCCCACACTAAGGACGGCTCTGAATCTGGAGACAGCATCATTCTGCGCCTTTGTTGTTGGGACAGAAACTGTACAGTAGATACAAATATTGTGCTACATTCGAAAGGGTTTTTTTTATCATGATTTTGATGCAGTTTTTGTTTTCCTGAAGTAGGATAGTGTTAAAAGTCAGCTTTAAATCAGACTGACAAAAACCACGGCAGAAAGTGATAAACAGGATCAAAGATTTAGTTAGCATTTAGCCCGCATCAACATATTGGGTTTATTTTCGAGGTAGATTAGTTAATTGTCTGAAATTAGATAATTGACTTTATACTGGCCATTGCTGTTACATTAATACGCTGAGCTGCAATCATCAAAGGTAATGAAACTGATGAAACTAACGCTGTATCGTTGTCTTAAACATAAATGCTATTCTCTGACCGTGCTGATGTAATCTACAGCAAAGGTTTAATCAATTCTGCTTTAATGTGAGATCCTATCTTTTGCAACACTTTACAATTGTTGTATTAGACAAATATGTCTTTGGAGATATTACTTTTCTCTTGAGGAGTGTTGCGCACTATTAGTCACGTGTCAGTGTTTAAGTAAACAAATAAATAATTCTAGAAATGTTACTGTATTTTTACTATATGATAGTCATTTATGATTTTTACACAAATACAAAGTTTTATCACTATTTCTATGACTATGCAAATGCAAACCATCTTCAAGTAAAAAGTAAAAACATTTCTATTCTTATATCATCTAATTTTTTTGTTTTTTGGTGCTAATGTTTTGTTTGTTTTTCCTTATGTGTTTTGTGTTTTGTTTTTCAGACAAGAAACCCATGTCGTCTGCATCGGAGACAGTCGAAAATGCCTCCATCCTTTCAGAAAGTGGCTCCCATGATGGAAACCGCTTATGGATTGGCAACATAGATCCCAAAATCACAGAGTGAGTATGATGATTAGTGTTTTATTGTAAATAAAACCAGTAGAAATATGACATTACAAATACTCTCTCGTCCAGGAGTCATCAACGTAGTCCCCCAAGGCGCATAGACGCTCGCTAGGATCACTTAAGGTGTCTGCAAACGAAGCATGTTCTAAAAATAGCTTTGGTCAGCCTGTTCGCGCCAGTATTTTTCCTGCTTGGTGTCCGGCGACAGAAGATAGTCTAAGCTCTGTGTTGATCATTAAGTGTCCGAAAAGAGCCAATATTCACAGAGATTGTGTTCCCCAACCTTTTTGAGCTGTGGCACACCTTTTTTAATTGAAAACAATCACATGGCCCCCCACCAGCTGAAACTGATACACAAATGAAACTCTGCTGAAGTTTGTGCAAGCGTTATTCAAAAGAAAGGAAGGTTACTCACCCATCATTCTAACTAAAGTACTTCCATGTGAGTCACTAAAATGCTTTGGCCTGAGAGCTGCTGCAGAGTAAGATGTAAGCTCATGATAGATGACCCTTGCTTTTGTGGCTCCTAGCCTTTTAAAATCCTGTCCCTGCTTCTCCTGCGGTCCCATTGTTATTACAATTCTGAATTAATAATAATTATCAATTCACCTGTCAATTACGTTTTTGATTTATAACATTTGTTTTTAAAACACAAAACCACACATTTCAGATTGTATTTAGATAGATCTTCTTAGTACATTATTATTTAGCATAATATAATTATTAGGGCTGTCAAATGATTAACATTTTTAATCGAGTTAATAACAGCTTAAAAATTAATTAATCGTAATTAATCGCATTTCTAACTATAGGCAAAATTATGCCATATTTTTCTGTAGTTGTTTGAATGGAAAGATAAATGACAGCTTACATATGTACTGTATTTGTTTATTATGACAAGAATAAATCCACATAAAATGGCATTAACATTATTGACATTCTGTCTTTCTGTGACACAGACCAAAACTATTGTTTGTTACAGGGATGAGAACGGGACATTTCAAAACAGTCTGAAATGCAGAATGTCATTAAATCTGTTGGATTTGCTCACAACATTTTACTTTTGGGCACAACCAACATGAACTGGTAGTGCAATGGAAAAATTAGGTACCCCAGCTTTAATTTGACGAGTATAGTTGCGCTTCGGGAGGAGACACAAACACTTCCAGAGGCTCCATATCCAGCCTCAGCGGTGTCTTGGATATACAGCGAACCACACGAGCCACAGTCAGGGACAAACAGAGACTACAGCGCATTGTGCGCTCTGCAGAGGAAGTGATCGGCCGCAGCCTTCCATCGCTGCAGGACCTGTACGTCGCCCGAGCTCGAGGCCGGGCTGGTCGTATCACAGCCGACCCCTCTCACCTGCACATGGACTATTCCAACCACTCCCCTCTCACCCTGCACATGGACTATTCCAACCACTCCCCTCTCACCTGCACATGGACTATTCCAACCACTCCCCTCTCACCTGCACATGGACTATTCCGACCACTCCCCTCTCACCTGCACATGGACTATTCCATCCACTCCTCCCCTCTCACCTGCACATGGACTATTCCATCCACTCCCCTCTCACCCTGCACATGGACTATTCCAACCACTCCCCTCTCACCTGCACATGGACTATTCCAACCACTCCCCTCTCACCTGCACATGGACTATTCCAACCACTCCCCTCTCACCTGCACATGGACTATTCCAACCACTCCCCTCTCACCTGCACATGGACTATTCCATCCACTCCCCTCTCACCCTGCACATGGACTATTCCAACCACTCCCCTCTCACCTGCACATGGACTATTCAAACCACTCCCCTCTCACCTGCACATGGACTATTCCAACCACTCCCCTCTCACCTGCACATGGACTATTCCAACCACTCCCCTCTCACCTGCACATGGACTATTCCAACCACTCCCCTCTCACCTGCACATGGACTATTCCATCCACTCCCCTCTCACCCTGCACATGGACTATTCCAACCACTCCCCTCTCACCTGCACATGGACTATTCCAACCACTCCCCTCTCACCTGCACATGGACTATTCCAACCACTCCCCTCTCACCTGCACATGGACTATTCCAACCACTCCCCTCTCACCTGCACATGGACTATTCCAACCATTCCCCTCTCACCTGCACATGGACTATTCCAACCACTCCCCTCTCACCTGCACATGGACTATTCCAACCATTCCCCTCTCACCTGCACATGGACTATTCCAACCACTCCCCTCTCACCTGCACATGGACTATTCCATCCACTCCCCTCTCACCCTGCACATGGACTATTCCAACCACTCCCCTCTCACCTGCACATGGACTATTCCAACCACTCCCCTCTCACCTGCACATGGACTATTCCAACCACTCCCCTCTCACCTGCACATGGACTATTCCAACCACTCCCCTCTCACCTGCACATGGACTATTCCAACCACTCCCCTCTCACCTGCACATGGACTATTCCAACCACTCCCCTCTCACCTGCACATGGACTATTCCAACCACTCCCCTCTCACCTGCACATGGACTATTCCAACCACTCCCCTCTCACCTGCACATGGACTATTCCAACCACTCCCCTCTCACCTGCACATGGACTATTCCAACCACTCCCCTCTCACCTGCACATGGACTATTCCAACCACTCCCCTCAGGCAGGAGGCTGCGGTCCATCAGGACTAGAACCTCCCGCCACAAGAACAGTTTCTTCCCCTCTGCTGTTGGACTCTTGAACACTTCTTAACCTGTCCCCCCGCCCTTTTTAAAGTCACTTTACTGCCCATCATACGTCACTTTACTTCACTGTACTGCTGTCACCTTACATTGTGTGCACCATGTGCACTTGGATATTGTATATAGTAATTGTAATCGTAATAATTCTAATTTAAATTTTATACCTCAGAAGTGTATGCTGATTTTTATTATGCCTTACTCTATTCTCTATTCTTTACCTCTCTTTTTGACTGATGCACTGAGCCAAAGCAATTTCCTAGTCTGTGACTTCCTGTTACTTACGTGGCAATAAAAATTATTCTGGTTCTGATTCAAACAAAAGCAAGTTCCCTTCAGTCACGCACGTGTTCTTTTTTTAACTTGAATTCCCAGCGGGCCTACCTGCTCTGTTGCCGTACACATGCATTTTTCCGGGGCATTCTGAGTGTTATGAGATGCATGGCGGGTCATTCGGTGCATACGTTAATGCGTTTTTTTAAAGCAATTAATGAAAAATATTAATTAAAAGATACCTGTTTCTGCAAGGTTTGAATGTTTAGCACCGCCCCTCAAGCCTTCTCATTTCCTCTATGCTCTCATCCCATGGAGCCGTCTAGTTTTATTCGCAATCTGATACATATGCAAACATTGGCATGAGCGCAACTTAAGCTGTTCAACAATCACTGATGAAATGGTAGAAAAGAACTGCACTGCTAACAAAATATATAATTGAAAGATTACCGCTAGTTTTGCGTCCGAATGTGGTCCGAGGCAGTCCCGCGCCCGCAGGTCTCTCCAGAGGATCCCATGTCAGCTAGCTATGTTCACCCGGGCTTGATTTGTTCTTTAATCAATTTTTTGCTTTAGTTCCCTCTTCTCTTCCTCACTGTTCCATCGTTTGGGCTGTTTTTCCGTGTCTGCAGTTACAGCTAGGGCAGGTATAGCCACTTTCTGCCTCCATTCTGCTCTTGTTTACCAGCGCGGTAGAAGCTAGAGGACGCAGCTTGTTCGAAGCAGCGTCGCTCCTCGTTCTGTGATTGGAGGAGAGTTGGCGTCACGCTAAGTCTCTATTCAGCCATTTTTACAGCCTGAATTCATACACGAGCTGAATCAATGAGCTCAAGTTTTCAATTAAATTACAGATTAATTAACATGCGTTACCAATTACCAAAAGACAGAAGTGCGCAACATCTTAAAGGTAAAAAATATAGCAGCATATATCCTGCATAGTCTGTGCAGGATATAATTATGGCAATAAATGAAAGAGTGGCAATAGCAGTGCATTAGTGACTTGTGTTAGTTGGGAGTATGTCGGGACTTATATTCCCTTGTATTAAAAACATGTGAACATTCCACTGGGCAAAAAGAGTACCGGCACTTCTTTTGGGCCACTTAAAGCACTGAGCTGCAGTACATTCAAAACGCAGCAGCTCGAGTCCTGACTAGAACCAGGAAGTACGACCACATTAGTCCAGTCCTCAGGTCTCTGCACTGGCTTCCTGTGGCTCAGAGAATAGACTTTAAAACAGCTCTGCTTGTTACAAGTCTCTCCATGGCCTCGCACCAAACCAGCCTCGGCCGCGTCTGTGCACGGCAGACTCCCAAGTTGTGGTTATTTTCATAGAGAGGTGTGAAGTTCCCATGTTATTCAATGGAGACACATAATCACTGGTTATAGGCATTCAATAAACAGTGTTGCTCCCATAAGGGTCGTTTGGTGCAGCTTGTAGCTTGTTATTATTGCTGCTACATATCAGAAAATCAAAAAAAAATTAAAATTACTTTGCTTTTTACAAATCAAAACACATGTTTGTATTTCTCATCATTCTTGCATGCAGTTGATGTAGAGGGTTTTTGTCCCGAACACTTATTCCAGTTAATCTGTGGAACTAGATTAGAACTGCAGACACAGCACTGAATTACTAAAATTATGGTTACAGGTTTTCCATAGTAAAAATACGTATTTTTTTCTCATTGACTTGCTTGGCTCTGCCTCATGCAGACGTGAGATGAAGCATTGTGTGCACATCTATGATTGATGAAGTGTGTGTACAGGCTGTGTGTGTGTCGCAGACTGACACTGAGCAGGCCGTACTAGGCGTGTGAAAGACGGGCAGCGAGGTGTGGAGACCTGCTCTACTAAGGACCAGCCATCATTCCTCACTCACCTGCCCTGTTCACTGTCCCAGCGTCTGGGTGTGTTCATGTTGTGGCGCATACTGAGGTGTTGATGCAAACTTTTTAAGTCTTTTTACGCCACATGCAGCTCTTTAAATATTGTGACTTCTACTGCGTAAGTTTTATTTGATTGTGTTACGGAGAGGAGTTGTTCTGTTAAGAGTAATGGGTTTGTTTTTGTGCCTGTGGGGACTGTATGAGAATGTTTGGGGTGCTGCTCTGGTGGGCGTCTAGACAGGCGTTTCCTTCCCTTTCTGCTGCTCTGCTCTGCTTCTACCTAAATAGGCCAATACCTCACAGTGTAGAGAAAAACAAGAGAAATGCCCGTGGCCCCTGTTCCTGATTGAGAAGATTAATTAGCTCCTGTGAAGCACTTTCCACCGCTTTTGATTAAGATGTAAATGGAATCTCACATCTCATCTCACATCACAGCTGTGCAAAATATAAACATGCATAACTGTGAGGCCTTATTTTGTCTGATCTTGCCTAGTCTCTGAAGCTAAGAAGAGTTGGTCTTGGTTTTTACTTTGAGGGGACAATCAATGGAAAAAGCGGAGTACACTGAATGAATAATACATGACATTGTTCAGTGGATTTAAGATTCTTCTAGTCTTTCTTCTACAATTCTTTCTATTTAGTCATCATTTCTAAATAGTCCACACTATATGTACACCCTTTTCAGATTTGTTTTAATGTATTAGTGAGTAACCAGTTAAAACAAGTGACTTCTCTCCGTACACGCACAGCCTTGCTTTGCAGGAGTTTCCCACTCAACAGGTGGCTTCAAGTTTGCACACTTCTCTTCCTGATTTCTGGCACTCTTCTGCGATGAACGAATGCACTTTTCTATCAGTCTTGTGCTTGTCCCTTCCCTTCCTTCCTCTTCAATACATCCTTAGTTTACTACCAAGTTCTACCTGGATCCACTGTCCTTTGACTTTTCACCTCAACGCTTCTTTGGCTTATCCTTGTCTTCCTCTACCTCGTAGCAGTGAACCCTCATCTCCTTTGCACAGCCCTCTCCTCCTCTTCCTCCGGAAGATTTAACAGCTCCCAGGAGGAAAGTTCTATTGTGGCTCAGCTCATGGATCCAAACATGTTCTTGGACATTGAAGCACATTTGTTTATTTGAATCTCCATTATCATTCTTTTTGCAGTAATAGAAATGCAGGACATTACAAGACACAAATGAAAGATGTTTTATTGAGGAATGGAGTTGTCTTTGCAATGTATACATTAAATATTATGTTACAAATACATATTGTTTGGTACGGCTTAGAGAGGCTTCCAGGGTGTTGTCTGGGAAAAGCAGAAATCCTCTTTGCCTCAAGGCCCCAGGGAAACATTACCACAACCTGTACCTAAAAGCCAAATCCGTCACAATTGTAAACACAAGAATATTAGCATCTATCATACCTTTTGTTATGACACATAAATGCATTTGTTCTGTGGATTGTTCCTTAATAGCAGCACATACGTCATTAAAAAGGCAACAGGAGGCCATGTATTGTTATTTGTATTGATATTTATTTCGGGAGGGGGGTCATTTAAGTTTCAAGCCAAAATGCCAATAGTTTACAGACAGACATGGCTCATGTTATATAGAGGTTAGAGACTATTTATCTTGTCATTTCAGGAGTTGTGGCAAAATAAAACACACAATTCTTTTCCCATAGCATCAGTGACACGCACCTCACTGTGAAATACATGCTACTTCACACGGCTGTGAACAGTGTTTGTGCTGGGCCCAGTGCTCAGGGGGACTTTGAGGTTTCCTCTGTTTTATTCCCTCATTGTCCTGCTGCCGTATCCTCCATATTGTCTCAATAAAAGATTTACTGCTGGACCCATGCTAATGAGGTGCTGTGGAAACCAAGCTGTCATTCTCGTTAGCCTGTCGTGACCAAATGCTTCATTAAACATCATTTAACAATTAACATTGGTTAATTCACTTACAAATGCTACTTTTCCTGATTATTATCAAATATTAATTTAAGGTTATGATTCTTTTTTAACTTTTAATTAATTCTGTGTTCCCACTTTATTGATTCGTTGATTGCTCTGTCCAGGTACCATCTTGTGAAATTGCTGGAGAAGTTTGGTCAGGTCAAACAGTTTGACTTCCTCTTTCACAAGTCTGGGCCTTTGGAAGGACAGCCACGAGGATACTGCTTTGTCAACTTCAGCACAAGAGAGGTTTGGACTATTCAAACAATATTCAAATATATCTACATGTAGTTATGTTTCGCTTTGCTGCATCCGTTTCTCACGTTATTTTCTGCACAAAGAAACAGAGAAATAATAACAGGGTACTGCACTCCCACCGTTCCTTCAAACTTTAACAATGTTTAAGGTATACCAGATTTCATATGCACTTGAGACAAGCACAATGTTTTTGGAGGCAGCCTGGGGATATAGATAGTGAGCATCAGTACGATATGAATCCCTCCCAGAAGAATTCAACACCGGAAGAGGCTGTTTGTCTAACACTCTCACACGTGCCGAGACTGCACTTCATTAGAAAGATTTAGCATTTACACATTTCACATGCCGCTTCTCAAACACAAAGAGACCATTAGTCATGGCCCACATCAGAGCATATCATCACCTAGTATTATTTTCCGCATCTCCAAATAAATTTGATTTGATGACTATGTTGCAGTAATCAAGGCTGATTCTCAATCAGACATGTACAGAGCTTTTCTGTTTATTTCTCTTCACTTCCTTTCTGTGTATAATTGTTTGTAGGAGGCAGAAAGAGCGATCCAGCGCTTGAATGGGAAACTGGCCTTGTCCAAGAAGCTTGTTGTGCGATGGGCACACGCACAGGTGAGGGTAAGTGTCTCATTCACACAATACTTACACAATGTTACAAATGGCACAATTTGGCGAAACATTCAAAACATAGTATTGTTTCTTTTGAATCCTGAAATTAATTTTGTGTCATTATCAAGACTTGTTTAATTAAAATAAACCAATTGGAAATGAATCAATTGCATTTCGGAAGGAAATCAGGATCTTCATAAGTTACTGTCAAATTCAAGATCCACTTATCTCTGATATAAAGAGACTAAAACTACTTTTTAGTAATTGAGAAATAATGAACATAACTTTTGAGATTTCTTCTGTTGTCCGTCCAGTGTGGTCCCAGCACAACTCATGCCTGCGCTTTAACAATAGACAGCCTCTTGGCAAAGGGCGAAGGGATATCCTGTATAGGGACCAATCACACCCTGAGCACACGCACATGTATCCACACACATGTATCCACACACATGTATCCACACACATGTATCCACACACATGTATCCACGCACACACACATGTATCCACACACACGCACATGTATCCACACACACGCACATGTATCCACACACACGCACATGTATCCACGCACATGTATCCACACACATGTATCCACACACACACACATGTATCCACGCACACACACATGTATCCACACACACGCACATGTATCCACACACACACACATGTATCCACACACACGCACATGTATCCACACACACACACATGTATCCACACACACGCACATGTATCCACACACACGCACATGTATCCACACACACGCACATGTATCCACACACATGTATCCACACACACGCACATGTTTTTACACACACACACATGTATCCACACACACGCACATGTATCCACACACATGTATCCACACACATGTATCCACGCACACGCACATGTATCCACACACATGTATCCACGCACACGCACATGTATCCACACACATGTATCCACGCACACGCACATGTATCCACACACATGTATCCACACACATGTATCCACACACGCACATGTATCCACACACGCACATGTATCCACACACACGCACATGTATCCACGCACACGCACATGTATCCCACACACGCACATGTATCCACACACATGTATCCACACACACACACATGTATCCACACACGCACATGTATCCACACACATGTATCCACACACATGTATCCACACACACGCACATGTATCCACGCACACGTATCCACGCACACGCACATGTATCCACGCCCACGTATCCACGCACATGTATCCACACACGCACATGTATCCACACACGCACATGTATCCACACACACACACATGTATCCACACACACGCACATGTATCCACGCACACGCACATGTATCCACACACACACATGTATCCACACACACGCACATGTATCCACGCACACGCACATGTATCCATCCACACACGCACATGTATCCACACACATGTATCCACACACACACACATGTATTCACACACATGTATCCACACACATGTATCCACGCACACGCACATGTATCCACACACATGTATCCACACACATGTATCCACGCACACGCACATGTATCCACACACATGTATCCACGCACATGTATCCACACACGCACATGTATCCACACACATGTATCCACACACACGCACATGTATCCACACACACGCACATGTATCCACGCACACGTATCCACGCACACGCACATGTATCCACGCCCACGTATCCACGCACATGTATCCACACACATGTATCCACGCACACGCACATGTATCCACACACATGTATCCACACACACGCACATGTATCCAGGCACACGCACATGTATCCACACACATGTATCCACACACACACACATGTATCCACACACGCACATGTATCCACACACATGTATCCACACACATGTATCCACACACACGCACATGTATCCACACACATGTATCCACGCACATGTATCCACGCACACGCACATGTATCCACGCACACGTATCCACGCACACGCACATGTATCAACGCACATGTATCCACGCACACGTATCCACGCACATGCACATGTATCCACACACATGTATCCACACACATGTATCCACACACGCACATGTATCCACGCACATGTATCCACGCACATGTATCCACACACATGTATCCACACACACGCACATGTATCCACGCACATGTATCCACACACACGCACATGTATCCACACACACGCACATGTATCCACACACATGTATCCACACACACACACATGTATCCACGCACACGCACATGTATCCACACACATGTATCCACACACACACACATGTATCCACACACGCACATGTATCATCCACACACATGTATCCACACACACGCACATGTATCCACACACACGCACATGTATCCACGCACACGCACATGTATCCACACACACGCACATGTATCCACACACATGTATCCACACACACACACATGTATCCACACACGCACATGTATCCACACACATGTATCCACACACATGTATCCACACACACGCACATGTATCCACACACACGCACATGTATCCACGCACACGTATCCACGCACACGCACATGTATCCATGCCCACGTATCCACGCACATGTATCCACACACGCACATGTATCCACACACGCACATGTATCCACACACACACACATGTATCCACACACACGCACATGTATCCACGCACACGCACATGTATCCACACACACACATGTATCCACACACACGCACATGTATCCACGCACACGCACATGTATCCACACACACGCACATGTATCCACACACACGCACATGTATCCACACACATGTATCCACACACACACACATGTATTCACACACATGTATCCACACACATGTATCCACGCACACGCACATGTATCCACACACATGTATCCACACACATGTATCCACGCACACGCACATGTATCCACACACATGTATCCACGCACATGTATCCACACACGCACATGTATCCACACACATGTATCCACACACACGCACATGTATCCACACACACGCACATGTATCCACGCACACGTATCCACGCACACGCACATGTATCCACGCCCACGTATCCACGCACATGTATCCACACACATGTATCCACGCACACGCACATGTATCCACACACATGTATCCACACACATGTATCCACACACACGCACATGTATCCACGCACACGCACATGTATCCACACACATGTATCCACACACACACACATGTATCCACACACGCACATGTATCCACACACATGTATCCACACACATGTATCCACACACACGCACATGTATCCACACACATGTATCCACGCACATGTATCCACGCACACGCACATGTATCCACGCACACGTATCCACGCACACGCACATGTATCAACGCACATGTATCCACGCACACGTATCCACGCACATGCACATGTATCCACACACATGTATCCACACACGCACATGTATCCACGCACATGTATCCACGCACATGTATCCACACACATGTATCCACACACACGCACATGTATCCACGCACACGCACATGTATCCACACACACGCACATGTATCCACACACACGCACATGTATCCACACACATGTATCCACACACACGCACATGTATCCACACACATGTATCCACACACACGCACATGTATCCACACACATGTATCCACACACACGCACATGTATCCACACACATGTATCCACACACACGCACATGTATCCACACACGCACATGTATCCACACACATGTATCCACACACACGCACATGTATCCACACACATGTATCCACGCACATGTATCCACACACACGCACATGTATCCACGCACATGTATCCACACACACGCACATGTATCCACACACATGTATCCACCACATGTATCCACGCACATGTATCCACGCACACGCACATGTATCCACGCACACGTATCCACGCACACGCACATGTATCCACACACATGTATCCACGCACACGTATCCACGCACACGCACATGTATCCACACACATGTATCTACACACACACACATGTATCCACGCACACGCACATGTATCCACACACATGTATCCACACACACACACATGTATCCACACACGCACATGTATCCACACACATGTATCCACACACACGCACATGTATCCACACACGCACATGTATCCACACACATGTATCTACACACACGCACATGTATCCACACACATGTATCCACGCACATGTATCCACGCACACGCACATGTATCCACGCACACGTATCCACGCACACGCACATGTATCCACGCACACGTATCCACGCACACGCACATGTATCCACACACATGTATCCACACACATGTATCCACACACGCACATGTATCCACGCACATGTATCCACGCACATGTATCCACACACATGTATCCACACACACGCACATGTATCTACGCACACGCACATGTATCCACACACACGCACATGTATCCACACACATGTATCAACACACACTCACATGTATCCACACACGCACATGTATCCACACACATGTATCCACACACACGCACATGTATCCACACACACGCACATGTATCCACACACATGTATCCACACACATGTATCCACACACACGCACATGTATCCACACACACGCACATGTATCCACGCACACGCACATGTATCCACACACACTCACATGTATCCACGCACACGTATCCACGCACACACACATGTATCCACACACACGCACATGTATCCACGCACATGTATCCACGCACACGCACATGTACCCACGCACACGCACATGTATCCACGCACATGTATCCACACACACGCACATTTATCCACGCACACATACATGTATCCACACACACGCACATGTATCCACACACACGCACATGTATCCACGCACACGCACATGTATCCACGCACACGCACATGTATCCACACACACGCACATGTATCCACACACACGCACATGTATCCACGCACACGCACATGTATCCACACACACGCACATGTATCCACACACACGCACATGTATCCACACACACGCACATGAATCCACACA